TCCTGACGGAACCATAAGTGCTTCCCGAAGATCAATGGAGAAGGTCATCCACGACTTCTACTCGGATCTTTTTGCGAGCCACGTCCACCTTCCACCATGCCATCTCAAGGAGGACGAGTATGTCGCACCGTCTGTTCTTCCTTCCGAGATTCGTCATGCTATCATGTCGATGAAAAACCGTACAGCACCCGGTCCCGACAGGATTAAGCCAGAACATCTGAAGAATCTTTCGCCAGTTCTCATCAAGACTTTGGCAAGGCTCTTCACGCGGTACCTGACGGAATGCAAGGTTCCAAGGCAATGGAAAACCAGCAAAACCGTGTTGCTGTACAAGAAGGGAGATCCCTGCGACATCGGCAATTATCGCCCTATCTGCTTGTTGTCTGTAGTCTACAAACTCTTTACGCGAGTCATTCTCAACAGGATCGGAAGAGAGTTGGACGAAGGACAACCATGCGAGCAAGCTGGGTTTCGAAGAGGATTCAGCACGATCGACCACATACACACGGTGTCAAGGCTCATTGAAGTGTCACGAGAGTATAAGATGCCGCTCTGTCTCACCTTCATCGACTTGAAGAAGGCCTTTGACTCGGTTGAGACTGAAGCCGTCATCGATGCCTTGAGCAATCAAGGTATTCCGACTCATTACATCAAGATAATTCGTGAGCTGTATAACGACTTCACAACCACCATAACACCATTCTACAAGGACATCATCATTGACGTGAAGAGAGGCGTGCGACAAGGCGATACTATATCGCCGAAACTATTCAGTGCCGCTCTGGAGAACGTCATGCGTAAGTTGGAATGGGACAACATGGGAGTGAAAGTCGACGGCCGGCAGCTACACCACCTTCGCTTTGCTGATGACATCGTATTGATAACACCAAGCATCACGCAGGGAACAAATGCTGGCCCAGTTTGACGAAGTGTGTGGAAAGATCGGTCTACGGCTGAATCTAACGAAGACGATGTTCATGAGGAACGGAAGAGTGCCTGATGCTCCTTTCATGCTCAACGGGACGAACATCACCGAATGCTCAAGCTACACCTACCTAGGTCGTGAACTCAATATGATGAACGATCTAGCTCCGGAACTGAGCAGGAGGAAACGTGCAGCATGGGGAGCATATAAGACAATTGAGGACGTAGTGAAGAAGACCAAGAACATCCGGCTCCGCGCCCACCTTTTCAACTCGACGGTTCTTCCTGCTTTGACGTACGCTTCAGAAACATGGACAATGAGAAAGCAGGATGAACACGCGGTTAGCGTCATTGAACGAGCTGTTGAGAGAGTGATGCTAGGAGTGAATCGACTCACGCAAGTGAGGCAAGGATTACGAAGTTCTACCCTACGTCAACGATCGAAGATCAGGGACGCTGCCGCGTACGCCAAGCAGAACAAGATAAGATGGGCCGGGCACGTAATGCGTTTCGACGACAACCGGTGGACGAGAGCTGTAACAGATTGGATACCACTGGACGTCAAAAGCGAACGAGGAAGACCGCCGACGCGATGGTCAGATATGTTCACGAAGTTCTCTAATGAAGTCCTTTAGAGCGTTCCACGTGTTCCTGGTGCGATACGTAAACATTGGTCAACAATCGCCCGAGACAGGGACGAATGGAGGCATCACTGGTACCCGCTCGTGCAACACGATGATCAACGGGGACACAGGTGAGAGGTGATTTGAGATATGGGAGAAATATGAATGATTGCGGACAATATTAAATTTGGTGCAAGAATTATGTTCCAACCTAATATGTAGTATGAAAAGACTGTCTCTCATGATGTAAGTTTAGGGTCATTATAATCAAAAATCCTCTATTCCAGATATGCTGAACAACTATTGTGACTCCGATGCAAACAATAACGGCCGTACAAAGATTTTCCATAGCTTCCATAATAAATCATTGGGCTAGATTTCATAACAAAAGAGGTAAGGATAGAATTGTAACATCTTTCCCTCTCATTTCTACAATACTTTGGATGCGGATTTACAGAAACTCTCAGATTGTATGATACTTATTATTTGAGTTGCTGATCTTAATTGAATGCATCTCGAGCTATACAGATGCCTATTCTTTGACGGTCCATGATAGTCAAAAACAGTGTTGTATTGCCTTTTATCAAGCCCCATGCAACTCGAGTTGCTTCAGTAAGCTTGGGACCAGGGGCGGTATTTATCAATCTCCCAGTCGCTGTTCGGGCCATTATTAACGAGTGCCAGGACGGTTAAGACGCCATCCCAAGATTTATGAAAGTCTGGGACGTGGTCCAGCCGGGCAGCAAAACCCGACTTGTCGTAGGGAACGATCGCGCACCTGCCGTACCCGATATGGCCAAACTTCCAGATCGGACCATATCTTCAAATAGGCAGGAGCCCGATCACCTTTGGTTTCGTGTATCGAGGGCGCCAGTGCCAGCGCCTATACGGGATGTGACCTGTGCAGGAACCCCTTTCCATATAGGGGACTAGATGGCTTACCCGGCTCCGCCCGGCCCTGTCATTATTTTATTCGTAATCAGCATGCTCGATTACCCCCCCCCCTGTACCCAGAGGTGCGATAGTCGGAGCCGATTCTCCGCCTACCTTCACTTTTGAGCTGGTACAGGATGACCACCTTCACTTTTGGGTTTGAAAATTTTTTTTGCTAAAGCTCAAAAGAAAGAAGATAAGCAAAAGGAATGTAAAAGAAAGTATTAAGGGCACATATCTATGTAGTAGGTCGATCCAGGCAGTAACCGCTGAGAACCAGAATTTCGAATGATAAAATAATGAAAAATCGTGAAAAATTATTCCACTGTTGCAAATCTGCTGGCTGAAGACCTCCGCAGTTGCGACTTCATAGGTTTTGAAGGGTAAGTGTTGTTCTACCAGACAGTGAAAGAATAAATTTGATTTGAGGAACGGCCGCCGAGAACGAGAATTTTGAAAAACCTTAAAAATCTTCTCAATTTTAGGTTGCTTAATGACAACTGGCATTTAAACTCTTATAAATCCGCACTTTGAAAGTGTGTGATGTTGCGACTTTATAGGTTTTGTAGAGTGAGGTTTGCCCTATCAGAATATGTCTTAGCTGTACCCATCCATCGAAACATCGCCGAGATACAGGGTCTTAAAAAACCAGGTGAAAAACCGTTTTTCCTCATGACTTCTTCAGAATTGCATAATTCATGTTGCGACTTCTTAGGTTGGATTCTCCTCGTCAAGAGTTTTCAAATGATATATAATATGTGGGGGATTCACGCCTCCCACGGCATATGCCCGGGGGTGGAGTACCTCTCTTCACTAATTCTCCACTGGCGGCCTCCCGCCAATACGTTGAAATGGGCGGGGTGGAGAATTAGTGAAGAAGAGTACTCCACCCCGGGTTAGAGCCGCAAGAAACATTGAATCCCCCACATTTCAAATATCATCTGAAAGCTCTTGATGTGGAGAATCCAACCTATGAAGTCGCAACATGAATTATGCAGTTCTGAAGAAGTTATGAGCTGAAAAACGGTTTTTTACCTGCTTTTTTAAGAGCCTGTATCTCGGCGATGTTTCAGTGGATGGGTACAGCTAAGACATATTCTGATAGGGCAAACCTCACCCTACAAAACCTATGAAGTCGCAACATCACACACTTTCAAAGTGCGGATTTATAAGAGTTTAAATGTCAGTTGTCATTAAGCAACCTAAAATTGAGAAGATTTTCAAGGTTTTTCAAAATTCTCGTTCTCGGCGGCCATTCCTCAAATCAAATTAATTCTTTCACTTCTGGTAGAACAACACTTACCCTTCAAAACCTATGAAGTCGCAACTGCGGAGGTCTTCAGCCAGCAGATTTGCAACAGTGGAATGATTTTTCACGATTTTTCATTATTTTATCATTCGAAATTCTGGTTCTCTGTGGTTACTGCCTGGATCAACCTACTTTATTCGCAGTACGTTATAACAAAATTCACATACTAAAATACGTAAAGTCTAGCTGGGTTTTACTTACAAGTAGACCTTTAGACTAACACGTTTATTTTTTTTTATTTTTATGCCGCTGTACTCATCGTATTTGTGGCCCTAAAGAGGGCGTTAGGTCACAGTTGTTGGCCCTCAAGGGAGCCGTTAGGTGAGAGTTCTTCGGTTATCCGAAGTCCCCCTTCCCCCCCCCCCCCCCCCCCGGCCAGTGGTGACTGGAACCACTTCACTTCTGGGGGCTCGGCTCCACCTATCGCACCTCTGGTTCGGATCGGTCCAGAAATGGAATTTTCTATTCGGAACATACGTACACACAGACATACATACAGACAGACAGACAGAAATAGACATTCATTATATATAAGATTGATAAGCACCGGTACCGCCCCAGGTCTCGGCAGGAGGTGGATTTCCGAAAATGCGAAGAACGAAGTCCTTCCCAACATTTTACGAATCCCTTGATCCTAAACGCAAAAGTAAAACGTGAAAATAAACGTAAAAAACCCTCAAAAAACGGAGCGTCAACTAAAAAAACGTCATTTTTGTGTTTTTTCGGCTTAAAAACGATATCCAGCCTGCTTATAAGCCACATGTGCCGAGCCCTGCTCGGAACAGTGCAAACTGCGTACCCACATAAATACTTCTCCTCTTCGACTTGCAGCAGTGGTATTTTGCTAGCGGAGCGAGTATGTGTCCACGATGTAGCTGCCAAATTTCTAGTATCAAGTTCTAAACTGAACTGACATCCAAATATGTCCATAAGCTATTACTTCTGATAATTGATAGTCATAATAATTGGTAATTTTGAATAATCCAGTCACTTTGGGAACGGCAGCGGCGCAAAAAGGAACAAAGTCTGTTGTGACATTGGTTGGTTCGTTGACAACGACACTGAAACTAGCTGGCACATGAGGGTAATCAAAAGTGACCAGAGTGGATGTAAAATCAGTCCAGTTACCGTTTCTTTGGGTGTTAACATACCCTAGTGGTCAGTCTAATTGTCGTCCCGCCCACTTCGACATCTATTTGCGCACGTCGCCATTCTCGCCTTGTTATAACAATTCACCAACCACTTAATCCTCGCTGACCCTAGCTGTGCCGTCTACAAACTCGCCATACATACACACACCCTCACTACTACTTGACCATACTACTTACTGGCTGACGTGATGACAAGTTGTCCATGAAGGGTCTCGTTTTCGGTCTTTTTCTGTTATTTCTTGGACCCGGTGAGTGCTCGTTTCAAGAAAAATGCGATATTAAGGTGAGTTAGATTTGTAGTACTATTTATCTTCGATTTTGTAATCTCAGGGTGCAAAGAACACATATCTTTGGTCGGTGAAGCACCCGAAGGCAAGCTGCAAAGGTTTTTTGTTTGGAACTATTCATGTGCCTTACACACAAGTGTGGGATCAAGGTTAGATTCTCTCTCGTTATTTATTATGCTTACTACTCTATTCTTGGAGCGTTTCCACCTGCATAGTTAACGCCCATTTTCCAAGAACCTACAGTAAATTTTTTGCCGATAAATTTGTGTTTTATAAGTTTTCACTCTCTCACAATTCTCACAGAGTTACCTCACAAACTCGCACTCATCACTATTTTGCGGAAATGCCTCAACCAGTCACCAGTTGCTGCGCTTCGCCGAGAATCCATTGAGGCCTAAATGCACATTTTCGAGTAGGCATTCACACCTCGCATGCATTGTTCTGCAGGGCTAATTTAGCGTGAGCAGTGTGAAGAGAGGTGTGGAAACATGCCAACTCGCTCCCGCTTTCATAATGGAAGCGACTAAACGACGCCCTAGCCCATCCCACACAGGTGTCCATTAATGACAATGCCTACCGAGATTCTCTGGATAATTGGTTATGCGAACAAATTGGATAAATGCCAACAGTCTTTGTCGCGTGTACCATCTGTTGTCATAACAATGGAAGTGCCAGACTCCGAGCATAGCACACTACAGTATGCTATGGGGGAGGTAAAGCTGAAGGTTGACTTGGACTGTAGAAATAAGCGTTAGATTTTCCTGCGAAACAATACGTAACTGATGTTACCTTGTTTTAGAAATTATATAGATGTAGACCCATCTATACTGAGGCTAGTGAATAGTCGATTTCACTGAAGATGTTGCAACTTTGCTATATTACGGAATGTAATCCATATTCTGGAGCGCAAATTGTGCATAGATCATTATTGACTGCTTATCTATATCGATTTCAAATATTAGGTTGGCTAATAAATAAGTTCGTTTTGATATGCATCTTCGAAGCTCTGTTTTGAGTAGCAATACTTAGTTAAGATTTTTGTGAGTTGGTAGCTAAAATCCTCTACTCTTACATATCTGACTCCCATAATTCGCCGTCAGATGGCATTATGCCCTTATAAATGCTAGACTTCTAAAAATCACTCAGTATTTCTGACCTCAGTTCTCACCTTTAGTGGATGCTCGGACTAGTAATTTAGTGATCAATATACACAACCATTGGCTACATGGCGAGCCACAATGAAGATGGTAACCTGCTGCTTGTGAATTTCTGCAGTCAAGTGAAAATTTTCTAGTATTTGCGCGTGAAAAGTCATTTTTGGGCAAGCCAGATCGCTTGGAACAGACCTTATGGTTGTGCAAAAGCTTGTTCATGAGTTGTTATGTGGATGCTAGCTGTACATTTCACGACTTCAGTTCGTTTATCGAAGCATGACTTTTCGAAAATTTGGTGAAAAATGAGAATTCTAATCTGCACCATTTCGTTGTCAAAATAACTACTTATCGCTCAAAAAAAATGTTGGTCATCCGATTCTCCTTAGTTTGCTTTTTCCAATGGTACCAAACATTCCTACATAACTTGATGTGTGACATTTTTAACCGTTAAAAACGACCGAACTTTTTTATTGCCAACCTATTTTATGGAGCCTAATGCAGGGCAACTATAAAAGGCTAAGATTTTTGAGTTTTACACTGTTTTTATTTCGCGTTTTTTGTGATATGTCAAACACTTGTGAGATTGAATTCTTGAAGTTTAGGGACCATTTGGGGTGGAGGACATTAGGTCGCCGAAAAAGGGCGGTCCCGGCGGTCATTTGCGACAAATACGCACTCTTGTACATGCGCGGACATGCGTTCCTGCAGGGAATCCGCGCGGGACTCTTCCAAATTCGGCGACCTAATGTCCTCCACCCGACATTTGAGGGGACTAATGCATCACTAAACTTATATTCAAGCAGTTGAAAGCCGTACTTTTTTTTATAGCCGTGTGTTAACATACCTGTGTTTTCTATGCTAATTTATACATCAAAATTTGAGAACAGAAAATAAAAAGCAAAGGAAGAGAGCGTTCAAAATCATACTCAATGGTACATGATCACTTGAGAATAATTTCATGTTATGTTCCTTCAGCAGACACCTGACATGCAGTCTTCGCATGTTAGCCTTGTTCAAGTGATGTTCGCGCAAACAAATCTCATCCGCGTTCGCGCTCCAATACGATACAGGGTCCCAGGAACGCAACTCGTGGAAAGGGGTGTAGAAACTTCTAATCCGAATATAATGCAAAGTAAATGATTCTGCGCTGTGGAAGTTCGTCGCAGTTGCAAAGAATGCACTGCACTCTTAATACAAATTTAAACTTCAAAGCAGAGTGGCAGCGTGGCAAAACGCATAATGTCAGTTTTTGTGGAAAAAGCTTGTTTCGTGTTTTATTTGCTGCAGCTTTATATCTTGGGACTTGGGACGCTAGCTTTTTGGCTTGTATATAATTTGATCGGATTGTGTTTCTTATGTAGCCACTTCTTTCACTCACAGACTTTAGGTGTGTTATGCCTAGCTAAGATATTCAAGTGAATATTTTTTGTCATCATGTCCTATCCATTCATTTTTAAATCGGGAGTATATACAAAATCATATTTTCAATCTCCGACCGCTAACAAAAAAGTACTGTTGCATACTGTTCTTGTTATATTCTCAACCTCTTTGAAAGAACACTTCTCATTCGATGTATGAAGACGATTCCTTCGCACACATGTCTTATTTACAGTATCCGATCGCGTTCGTGAGGCATTCTCCTATTCTGACACGGTGATGTTGGAAATAGATTTACATGATGAGGACACCGTACGGCAACTGATCCGATGCAAAAATCTCAGGCGAAAGCAGACGGTTGCTAGTTATTTGCATCCAAGCCTCTATCAACGCATAAAAGACTGTAAGCATTTTCACGTTCATTTATTTGGAAAGAATAAAGTAACATGCAAGACGCATGGGATAGTATTTCTTCGCAAATTTGATGGTATCGAGAACTAACAACCTTCATAACAGCCTGGAATAGTTTTTTCCCAGAATATTTCTGACAAGGATTGTCCTATAAACATCGGGATCAATTTGTAATAATCAAAGCTACTACATAAACACTTCATTTCAGTAATGAGCAGGTTTCGACACGGGTTGCTGACTCTGGTTCAATCGCAGGGGATGCATAGATCTCATTTGTACAAAAAAGTCAAGGAAACTTATGAAAATCTAGTTGGTAAGTGAAACTAGTCATGCTGTATCAATCAAGGACTAGTGCATTCTCCAAATTTTGCAGTATTTGTGCAACGTTTTTTTTGCAAAGATTAAACAATAAGTAATTGTGTCTTCAATTGCAATGATTTAGCATAAAATTCTCCCAGATGCTAATGATACAGATATGACAGGGTTTTCTGATATTTAGCAGAACCACTAGTTTGCAAACAGTTACTATCAACGAACAAAACCTAACGATTTAGGTTACTGGAAAAAGTAGTGCTCTCCTAGCCCCTTTATCTTTTAGCTCAAATTCTTCGAAACTGTCGCTCTTTGATTGGTAAGGAAGACAATTTTATGAGTCAAGGTCTATTTTATGGTCTTTATTATTCCACTAGCTGGCTTACCCGGCTCCGCCGTATGTTCCGAATAGAAAATTCCATTTCTTAACCGATCCGGACCAAACTTGGCACACATACACTTCGGGCCCCGGCGGGTGTCACAGTCCTCGATCGATGACGAAAAGTAGCCTATGACACCCGCCGGGGCCCGAAGTGTATGTGTGCTAAGTTTGGTCCCATCGGTCCAGAAATGGAATTTTCTATTCGGAACATACGTACACACAGACAGACATACAGACAGACAAACAGACATACAAACAGACATTCAACTTTATATATAAGATTTTATGAAATTCATTATGACACGTACCAAAAATTCTTTTGATAGAACAAGGACTGCGACTGCATCTCCCAAAAATTTTTCGTATATTCTGAAATTAAAGCGACGACATGTGAAAGGATTCTAGCCATCTCGTCCATATTGCATTGTTTATCAAGTTTGGGTAATGGCCGTTTTTCCAAACATTCTTCCAGGCCAACTTACTTTCATCAAAATCTCTGTCTCAAAACAGTTACAACATCATTGGGAAGTTCTTTTCATGCTCCATCTATTGATAGTTGAAGCGGCTTCCAACCTCGTTTGGAAAAAGTTGCAAAACTTTAGAATTGTAGTTTCATTACATTAACTGTTCTGGCCAGAGTTCATGCGCCGGTAGACGGCGTTTCTTGAATATTTAGCTGCTGTAAGTAAAAAAAATTGTGCACATTATGCACACTTGAGTATTTTCTTTGAAATTATCTAGACTGAGATATCGGCGGCACAACATGGGTAGCCGTTGCGGTCATTCTATGTCTTTTTTTTTTTTGAAGAAGACAATCGCCACAGCTTTCCTCATTTCTGGAAGCGCAGGAGTGGGGCATCCTGTTGACAGTTTCCGCAACAACACTCAGCTGTTCAGCACGATGAAAATTAGAATTCCTATAAATCGGATGAAGGCTAGTGAGAAAATGCTGAAAGAACTGACAATTCTCCATTCGGATTTTTTTCGCTAACCTTCTTTGTCCAAGCCCTTTTGATCTCTTTTTGTCCTACTGGCTTGCGACTACAAGATGGGCAACTTATTATTCATACTAACCAACTGTGAAGAGAGTTATGATTAGTCAAATACAAGGTTTTAGAAAAAAAAAACTTTTTTTGCCCTTCGATCCATGTTTTCCTGCCCGCTTGTGATATAAGTATAGACGAATAGGCGCTGTATGGCGAAAGGTTTGTCTGATGATTTTATCGCATCCAGAATGTAGATTATTTAGAAAGTTATAGCACGCCAATGAAAATTCGCAAAACGGCCATTACTTTTGCATCAACCTAAAAGAGTCCTTTGCTAAAACACTCAATATACTTCGAAACAACTCTTCACAACTCTTGGCTTTGAATATATTAGGTTGTGTAATAAGTTCTGTCCCATTTTTTCTTTCGTTTTTTTTCTCAATATTTTGCGCGATGTTCTGGAAATTGTTTGTACGCATTTGAAAGCTCTAAGCCTTCTTTACTAAAATTTACATTTCGCTTTTCTAAATCAGATGAATTTGAAAAATCAAACAGGGAAAAAGTCCATTTTCGACAACTACGTTACGTAGCCTTCCTAATTGGTCAGGATTGCTACGAATAAGCTCGAATAATTTGCTACACGTAAACAAAGAATGCTCTAGCTTCTATTACGCTTCAGGAGTGCTGGAACTTTTCAAAAATCATTTCTGTAGACTATAGGAAAGTCTTCATTCTAAAGCCTTTTCAGCGTTGGTGTTGGGCATCATCTGAAGGCATCTTGAGGGAAGACGGTAGGCGGATCATCCAGAAGAGAAAGAAAAGATGGTTGTGGGTTGAAAATTATCGAATTCGTAGGTTAAATACTTAAAATTCGAGTTTTGGGAGCCGCACAGCTTGGGTACGCGAGACGGCGAACATCGCCGTGACAAAGTCTTTTTTTGCCGACTTTTGAAAAAATGTCATTAATTAGCCGATGGAAGGATGGGAACATGCGCAAACAGTGATAGATTAAGTGTAAAAGTCTGACAGATTGTTTTGGTTGTTGTCAATCTTGTTCAGTAAGTTTTACCAATAAAAATCCAGAGAAATTTGGAGGAAAAAAGATGTCGAAAATTGATTTTTCGGCTCTTTGGATTTTTTGTTTCAAAGATAAAAATCATTTTCATTTTCCTGCTGTGTTGAAGAGTGATGCATATGAACCTGCAGAGCAGACTTAGAGCTTTAAAAAGCATATACACTTTATCTCAAATATAGCCACTGTTGCCAAGAAAAAACTAAAACAAAAAATGGGGCAGAAATTATTACACGACCTAATAAAAAAAGAAACTTAATTTCGTTTTTAGAGAACAGCTCTAATCACAAAAAAATCTACTATAAAAATTGTCTCTCAAGACTAGTTGCCTCAGTATCAGTCTCTCAATTACTACCCTATTTTCAGGTGTATAAGCCGCACTTTTTCAAATTTTCCCACGAGCTGCTCGGTCGCTTTATTGTGTTTCGAGAAGCGATCTTTATGCCGCACGATTCTTTCAGGCAATACGCAGCAGGGTGTAGGGTCCTTTGGTTGCGAGGTCCTTTGACGTGTTCGGGCTGGTCGATGTAAGCTAGGACCACCCCGCGGCTTATACACCTGAAAATAGGGTAACATTATAAGAATATTGATTCGTTTTGCAGGTAACTGGGATCGGAAACGTCCCGAATGGTTGCTGTTCACTTTGTACCAACTTTGTGAGAATCACATCGATCGACCAACAGCTCCAACACTGGATGTATTTCTAGCTAATAAAGCATATGACGAAGAGAAACGAATTGAACCTATTGAAACCACACAAGAGCAGTGCAATCCAATAAAATCACTTACCAAAGAAGAAGTAAGTTATTTAAGTGATGTTCTGCGTGGAAGAAAACTTGTTGCTCCGGAACCATGGATTTTAACGGATAAATGCAGTTAGTTAGCTTGAAACGTGACCAGATCGGACCAAGGTTCGATTCCGCCCTTGGCTTGCTAAGCCCCCTACCATCCCGGGGATGGTGAACTGGTAAAGCAGTAATCTGAAGGAATAAAAGTACTGACTTGGTACTTTTATTCTTTCAACCGGCTGGCCTCCGTAAATCGCTGTGATAGTCTCGCACGTATCCAGTAGCCTCTTCGAGAATGAAGTAGAGTGCGTTTGGCGCGTGCCCGCTAGGGGTACTAAAGAAGCCCGAAAAAGCCCGAAAAAGCCCAAAAAGCCGGAACATCTCTTCCGTTTTGACGCTAAGGCATGTGTGTTGATTTCGCAATCTCAACTCCCAAAATCGCATTAGGCCATACGTTATTGGAGCAGGCTTCAATCGCGCATGAGCAAAACAAAAAAGTGAAGCACATTTTTATTTAGGAAAAAATCTCTAATCATTGTCCACAGGAACAAAGTTTGACACCCAATATAAGGTGATTAGGCGTAGTAGCTCATTTTGGGTTTGAGCTACGTTTCCGCGAAGCGAGCAGTGGATAGAGCCTTGCAAAAGTGGCGTTCTGTTTGGATATCCTGTTTTTGTATATTATTTGCGAGTTCAAATGGCCCGGTAAGGCTAATCAAAGAGACGCTGCGATCGAAACTCTATCGCAAAGCGCAGACTTTTTTGTTAACGCAAATCCACAAGTTTAGGTTGACCAACTTATTGAATTTTATTCGAATTGAGCAAGAGCTTTCAAGCCACATCTTCTCACATAAAGCTGAATGTCTATTTGTGTGTATGTCTGTCTGTCTGTATGCATGTACGTATGTTCCGATTACAAAGCTCCATTTCTGAACCGGTCCGGACCAAACTTGGCACACATACACTTCGGGGCGGGGCGGGTGTCGCAGGCTACTTTTCGTTATCGATTGGTATCGATTTTCGAATGATTACAAACTTCTTGCTACGGTTCTGGGAGTTGGCACAGGGGGTAATCGAGCATGCTGTTACGAAAATTTTAGTTTACAAAACTATCCGTTCCTAAGACCGATTTTATTGATTTTTTTTGCAAACTCTGAGCTACGAGGCTGAGAGTTGGCACAGGGAGTAATCGAGCATGCTGTATACGAGTAGAATATTAGTCTTCGAAACTGTCCGTTACTTTTATCAATCTTATCGATTTTTTGCGAAGTTTGAGCTTCGGGGCTGGGAGTTGGCAGAGAGAGGTAAATGAGCATGCTGATTACGAATACATATCAGTTTCTGGAATGGTCAATTACCTTTATCAATTTTATCAACTTTTTTGCAAAGTTTGAGTTATGGGGCTGAGAGTTAGCACAGGGGGATAATCGAGCATGCTGATTACGAGCGCAATATTAGATTTTAGAATCGTCTACTTCTATCGATTTTATCCATTTTTTTGCAAAGGAGCTATGGGGCTGGGAGTTGACAGAGAGGGTATGTAGGCATGCTGATTAGGAAAACAAAACGGGGATGAGAAAATGGCATGTAGAAGTGGGAAAGCTTGTACAGAATAGTGATGGTGAGCCTTACCACAGTGTTTTGAAAGGACCGGGCGGAGCCGGGTATGCCAACTAGTAATATAATCTTAAAGGCAGTGTCCCGGCAGATTTTGCACCTCCACCTTTTTGCATGTTTTAGGCCTTTTCGCCACGTAGAATCCGAATTTGAGCTTTGAACAGGCTGAAGAGGCCGATTTTAGGGCGTTTTCCTAATTCCAGAAAAGCAGCTTGGACGAGATTTTTAATGGAAGGTTGGGGGAGGTCCTCAGACGAAGATCCTGCCGTCTGCAATTCTTGCTTTGGATAGCATGCATCATGGGGGAGAGCGCTCGTGGGGTCCCGCGCCGAACAGGCGGGGAAGGCCGTCCAAGCGCGCGCCAGTTGGGGTTGCGCGCGCTGGTTCAAGGGTCATTTTCTCGGCCCAGGGGGAACATCACCCAGCCGAAGTGCGCCTGGAGGTCGATGGGGTGACCAGGAACCCCACCACACGTATATCCCCCAGGACCCGAATCTGCCTGGGCATTGCCTTTAAGTGTACTAGCCGCACCCAGTTTGCGCTAAATGCGAGCAGACCTGAGCCCATCGCCGTGTGTGTGTCCCGAGAAGCGGTCGCTTTCCTTACAGGGCAGGGCTCGGCACGAGCTGGCACAAGGGAAATTCTAAAGCGAAGTCCCCTTTGATTTTGAAAGTTTCCTACGAAGTCCCCTTTGACGTGTTTTGCATTTGCTTGGGGCGCGCTTTGTGATAGGAGCAGATTTTTCGACTGCGGAGCAGACCAAGAAATGTTCGGATGGATATAAAACGCCGAAAAGAAAACATTATGAAACTGTTTTTGCTTTACATGTAAACTTTTACAGTGCAGATAATTCGTGTAGAAAAGCAAAGGGTCGGTGCCAGCTCAGCTGGCACCCAGCTGGCACGGTGTCAGCTCAGCTGGCATCCAGCTGGCACCCAGCTAATTCAGAAAAAAGTTCAGCACAGCTTTCATTCATATAATTTTCTTAAATTTTTGGACCATAGTTCGAGTCCCCCAACGCTCATGCACACACCAAATTTGGTGTCATATGATTGCATTTTGGTTGTAAAAAAGGCTTTTGTTTGTCTCAGGAACACCCTGCTGGCGACTTGCCGGCGGCGCGCCCCTGGCATTCTAGCAAACAGCGGCACGTGACCCTCAAAAACGACATCCCCTTTGCTTTCCGCCCCAAAAACGGTATCCAGCTTGGCCCGGTGCCAGCTGTGCCGAGCCCTACTACGAGGTGTCCCAAAGTAAACCGTATTTCTGAGCAAATCAAACTGTTTTCGTTTTCCTAGCAGACTTAGGGTATCAGCCGATAGAGCGAAGCAAACTCTACAAACTAACCAGCAAAGATTCGCCTGAGTCGTTATCCAGGTCAAGTTTAGAGCATAAAATCGAAAAATTTATTATCTGAATAGAATTTTGCGAAGACTAGTCCTACGGACTTCAAGCTTGATCATTATAAAGCGGAGACGTAGTGATACTCAAATATGCCTTTACTGGATTTTTTCTATGCATAGAAAGCGACAAAAAGAGAAAGGCTAAAAACGGCAAGCACCGCCTCCAGCCCCTCCCATATATGTTACTGTATACTACAAGCCTTAGTAAGCATAAGCTTGGGGTTAAGTCTGTTTGTGCTTTGGCATTTGAGAAATACCGAGCTCAACATTTAAAAAAACCGAAAAAGTGACATCCCTGAATTTTGCCATTTCAATTTCTCAGAGTTTTGAGCCCAAAAAAACATCAAATACATTTTTGGGCTATGTGTCTACTGTATAGTCATCAAGTGGGAGGTTCATAGGAATTTTGTGGGTGTTCCAATTTTTCGGGTAGTTAAAGATTTTTGATTTCTGGATCCAAACTTTACCTGAATTACGACTTAGGCGGAGCTTTGATGGTCAATTTGTAGAGCTTGCTTCGCTCTACCGAATTGTGCCCTAATTTGCTAGGAAAACAAAGCAGGTGATCTACTTAGATCGAAGTCGATTATTTCCACAGTTAGCGCACCCCACGGCTCGCGAAATCCTTCAAAATGTTTGCCTTCAGAAGAGTACACCCAGAAAGTAGTTGCGTTTTGTGATGATATTAGGTTGGCTAATAAATAAGTTCGTTTTGATATGCAAATCAAAACTTCATAACAATTCATGTAACAGCTATTCAGCTAAGATTTTTTCTTGAGAAGATAGCCTCCAGCCTCTACTCCTTTTAACAAATAGTCAGGATTTTCTGTTACCAAAAATGACAGTTATAACCATATATGGTCAGGCTTCTAAAAAATCCCTTTTTCAACTTTCTAGCTTTCGTTCTCAGCCTGTAGTGAGTACAAAAGTGAGTAATTTGGTGGCTAATACATACAACCTCTGGCTAGGTGGCGAACTACATTAGAGATTGCGACCTGCTGTCTCTGAATTTCTGCAGTCAAAATTGCAAAAATTTCCAGGCATTTGCGCGTGAAGGTCAAATTTTGGGCATTCCAGATAACTCGTATCTGGCCATCTATGGCCATGCAGATAGTTGGAAATTCAGAAATTTGTTGTATGGGTAGCGAATCTATACTTTACACCCAACTTCAGTTCGTTTTTCGGAACGTGATTTTTCGAATTTTTGATGAAAAAATCTAATTTTCTTTCCTTCACCATTTCATTAATGGAAAAATTATTTTTGGGAAAAAAGAGTCAACCATCCAATTCTCTTTGATTTGCTCTCTCCAGTGGTGCCATATATACATACAAAAACTGATTTGTGACAATTCTACAAACCGCTAAAAACGACCGAATTTATTTTTTAGCCAACCTAATAGTAATCGTCTCCTATATGCTCATCGTAGTATGAATTCATCGTAATAATGCCAGTGATTTTGTTTTCCAAACAGACTCCTTATGCAAAACAACGAGCGATTAAACAACACATTTGATGCTGAACAGCACCACCTGACAAATCCCCCTTAAGTAAATCGCGCACATTAATTACGTTATTTTGTGGTAGCAGGTGAAATGTGGGCCCAGCAAACGCCTTCAGCTTCAGCTCACGCCAACTCATGTAATACCCAAGCTGTCATTTCGTGGGAGCAGGTGAAATGTGGGCCCAGCAAACGCCTTCAGCTTCAGCTCACTTGAAAAGAATAATCAGAGAAACCTTTCACTCATGTAATACCCCAGCTGTACTTTTATTGTTCAAAAAATGTTTTATCATAGGCAATAACCTGACATTGAACCAACGTTGACATGGTGGTAGCTGATAGATCACCAACATCATCTTTCAATGGCATTTATAGTTTGATAAGATAGTTCAAAACAAATGATGCGAATGCCCATAATCAGCAAACTGACTATCAGCCGAAAGAGCATGCCTTTATTCACCTGAATTTTGCAGATACTTTTCGCAATCAACTACACTACGGCTTACTTGGAGCACCTACAAATCACTGAACGGCTATTCGTCATCAATACTGAGCGGTCCATATCAGCCCTGGTGAAAGGCTATAGATGTGGAAACCTTGATGAGAACTACTTCCATTTATATGAGTTGCGAACAGTTGGATTTGATACTGGGGCGGAGGAGCGAGCCTTGGCGCATAAGGTTGTTTTAAAATTTGGACAGAATGTGTGTTTACGAGACAATCATTCAATTTGAGCATCTTTAGATCGATCGTCAGCTTCGAGACGACATAATTGCTAAGCGAAATGAACGAATGGCTAATCGAATCAATACTTTCTATATGAGCAATCCTCATCTCACAATCTTTTCCGCTTTTGGATCAGGTAACCTCTGTCCCAGTAATTTTGAGTTTTCTACTTCTTCAAAACCGGAACTAAACAGCTAACATCGTAGCTAGGTTCACAGTGTACACGGTACCAGGGCTCGGCACGAGGTGGCTAATTGAAAATGCAAAAAACGAAGTCCCCCTTGACTTTTGCGAATTTTTACGAAGTCCCCTTTGACCCTAGACCAGGGTTCGGCACCAGGTGGCGTCCCGAAATTGCAAAAAAATAAGTCCCCTATGACTTCAATGAAATTACGACATCCGCCACGAGATTTCGAAGAGAAAATACATGAAAAGGAACGGAACAAAGCAAGAGCAGGAAAAAAAACGAAAAAGAATCATCGAACACACGCGATGATGTATTCATATTCTCCGGATTGGCGGCATGATGTATCCATCGTGCAGCAATACGCGCCTTGAACAGCCTTTCCGCCGCCGCTCAAAATTTTCAAGGGGCTATAACTAAGCGGGGAGAAGGGGGTTTGAGGCGGTTTAGGAACTAGTTTGTAGGGTTTGGGATGTAGATGAAAAGTATGTAAAGAAAGTAGAAAAATTATGTGAGGGAGGAAAAATTTATGACTTTTTCTTTCCTAAGCCACCTCAGGTGGCTATCCAGGTGGCTTGAAAGCCACCTAACTCCGAAAAAAGTTGAGCACGCCTTTAGTTCACATAATTTTCTCATAATTTTTCATACTTAGTCCTAACTCCCCATTGCCCACCTACACACCTATTTTGGTGTCATTTCATCTTCACTTCGCTATAAACAAACCCTTTGTTTATTTGCTGGCGGCATGCCGGCAGCATGCCGGACGCAGATCGAAAGACAACGTTATGCTCTTCCGCAAAAACGATATCCCCTTCGTTTTTTCCCCAAAAACGATATCCAGCTTGCTTGCTAAGCCACCTGTGCCGTGCCCTGCACGGTACTGATCCATGGATTAGCATGACAGCTGAAATCCTAGGTTCTATTGAAAAAAATGTTAGCCCATACGATATCATTAACGGTCAGCAATTTGCGCCTTCAACCGCCGTAAATAGACTTTTTTTTACGATTGAACTTACTAACTCACTTAAATTCTCAATTTCCATGTTTTTGTTTTCTTCCGGGAGGCTTCTCATGTCTATATTTGCAAAAAGTCGAGAATCTGCGAAAATCGCGTCCCCATTACGGAGAAGTTGCAAATTGATTCTTCGGAACGGCGATTGGATGGGCGCGCACGGATGGGCGGGCATTACTGAAGAGGGGGGGGGGATTAGGGGTCCTGCCTCTTCGCTATTCCGAAACGTTTTTCTCGCTTCCGAAATGACATTTTGTGCCGCGACTCGGACACTGGCTTGATAGGGGGTCCTACTCGTATGCTGCCGAAAGCCCAAGCCCCCTAACTTAGGGTGGACGGTGCCTTAAAGCATGTGAACTCCGCCCCAATTTAAGGTTGGGTTCTGCATGATGATCAAGTCTTGTGTGGGCCTTGTGTGGGTGTTGATAAACCTGATAGAGTCCTAGGTTTAGATTAGTGGTAATTTAGAGCATACCAGCACAGAGATGTGATGTTATCGTAATTCAATTCTAGTCAAAAATAACTCATGTTCTATTTTAGGGCACTTTTTTGGGAACGATAGCGTTCTTCATCACCTCCAACGGCTGGGTTATATTGTCGAGAATATAAGGGAGCATGACGTGATGTAAGTTGGCTTTTACCATTACAAGACTTGTTAATCTCCAACTATCTTTTCAACAGAATCCCTCCACTAAAGCTCAGCAATACTTCCAAATTTAATTCATTGTGGCTACGTGATCATCCTGCACTACAAAGCGTTTCGGTTGAAGTAATTGAAGGAAGTTCGTCGTCGAACTTGTTGTATTATATGATTGTAATCTCCCTCATTCGAATATGTTGAATTTATTATGATGTACAACCATTTCGATCCGACATTTATTAGAAAGAAGCAAAAGCACTTGCTAGTTGTCATTTGCAGTTATTGTATAGCATTTTTTTAGATAGATAACAACACCGATACGCTACATAAAAACTGATCTTATATATAAAGCTGAATGTCTGTTTGTCTGTATGTCTGTCTGTCTGTACGTATGTTCCGAATAGAAAATTCCATTTCTGAACCGATCCGGACCAAACTTGGCACACATATACGGGCCCCGGCGGGTGTCATAGGCTACTTTTCGTCATCGATCGATATCGATTTTATCGATTTTTTGCAAAATTTGGGCTACGGGGCTGGAAGTTGGCACAGGGGGGTAATCGAGCATGCTGATCACCCCCGTGGGGGTGATCAGCATGCTCGATTACACCCCTCTGCCAAATTCCAGCCCCCTAGCTCAATTTTTGCAAAAAATCGATAACATCGACATCGATCGATAACAAAAAGTGGACTGTGACATCCGCTGGGGCCCGAAGTGTATGTGTGCCAAGCTTGGTCCGGATCGGTTGAGAAATGGAAATTTCTATTCGGAACATACGGCGGAGCCGGGTAAGCCAGCTAGTGTCTTATAAATACAAGAATGCGACGAGATCACATTTGTGTAATAGATTACGCTTGTCCTCAAAACATAAAGAAGAATCTTCGTATACATTGAAGTTTATAAATTATGCAAGAAGAATACAGACGCGATGGACACCTGAGTCGGGTGCATAGGTGCGATAGGGGGAGCCGGGCTCTCCCCAGGTGAAGGGGGTCTCGGCTGTTCCCGACCTTTCAGGGTGAAGGGGGTATGTGAGTCTAGGGGGGGGGGGGGGAAGGAAGAGAGAAAAGGTAAAAAAGCGTGCTATGAAGAGCTCTAATTTGTACCTTATTAAGACACAAATTGAAAAAAAAAATTTAAAAATTTTCAAAAGAAATTAAAAAATTAAAAAAAAATTGATTATGAAGATCTGTGCTTCTGTTTCACTGCATCAACAAAAAACGAAAGCAATAATGTTTATCCCAAAAGATGTACAAGTTAGGAACAACTTCATTTCCTGCACTCATCATCAACAATATCACTATCGCTAACGTCAGAGACAACAAGTTCGCTGCCTGAAAAATCTCCTTCTTCCTCCAAAAGGTCATCGGAGTAGAAGCAGAATTGCGTGCAAAAGCGTTCTGAGTCGAAAATGGATTTAAAACTTTCTTCTTCTTCTAAGCGCTTTTGTGATTTTTTTCCTGGCCCTCTGGTAGCACCAGGAAGTCAGCAGGTAGGTGACCAGTTTCTTCATACCATCTTTTAGGATATCTCAAAAAGTCATACGGTAACAACCTGTCTGGAAAACTTATACCAATCCTTTAAATGAAGTTTTTAGATAACAATGTGTTTAGTAGAAGGTTGACAAATTTTAAGTATTTGCTTAGATGCTCTATCGTTGTACGACTTCTGCGTTGTGTTCTGACAACAGAGTAGATAGAAAATCTTTCTCCACCTCTGCCGTGCTAGTCGGAATGGAAACTAGCTTTTCTAGTAGGTCCATCAGATTTTTGCGGTAAGTAATGGGAAAAGAGCCAGATCTCATATGCTTTCGCAGCACGGGAAGGAAATAGTGCATACTTTTTGGGCCTTGTCGAACTCTGGCTTCACCTCCTCTGGCATACGTCCTGTTAGCTGATTAGAAAGCTGCTCAACTTCTTCTTTAACAGCATCTGCGGAATAGCCGAAAAAAGGAGTTACTGTGCTGCGCGTTGGTTTTTTTTTCAATGTCATAGGTCATATTGTCACAAGGCGGATAACTTTCAAAAGCATAAACAGAGTTGAGTTCGCACTCCAGCCGGGATCTAAGTGCAGCAACTTGCTTGTGCTAACACCTTCCTTTTGTTCATATCCATGGTTGTGAATTTAGCAGCCTTGAATTCTTCAGCAACCTGCAGATCAGCAATGGACTTCCTGGACAATTCCTCATTGAAACTAGACAATCTGCTTGGATTCCTTATGCAGGAAATCAGAGAGTTTCGCTCAACTGCCAACTCTGTATCAATGTCGACAACATTTTCGTCGGCGTAAGATTCTCCTTCTGCCTCGCTGTTGAACTGGAACACATGCGAGTCATCTGCGATTTTGTAAAGTATTCTGCCTGCCGTTTCCTCTTCAAACTGCCAACCTTTCCAAAACATTGAGAAATATTTTAATAACATGTTATTCTTCTGAATGTCTTAGAGTTTTTGATTCATTGAAACCAATCATTCTCTACAAATTAAGTAAGGTGAGTCTAGAGAGTTTTCACGAATGTGACCTTCTTCAGCACTAGGTTTACAGAGTATAGATTCCAGAAATGGGCGGATTTTTGTGTGAAGGTGTGGAAATTCACCTATCTCCCATAGTTTTTTGAGTGTGTGCTAATAATGATAGCATAACTGTCAATCAAAAGCGCATTTTTTACCAAAAAAAAAACATAAACATATAACAACGATAAGCACGCTCAAATAGACGCGTTCGCTCACGTTCCCGTTAGTGCTGATAACGATGTCAATCCACAGCACATTTTTTACTATTAACGTGCTCCACCTCGCTCTTATTAAGTCGTCCAGAAAGTTTTTGCACATGATTTTTAAAATTCATAACTTCTGATTTTTCCAACCGATGTGACTGCTTTCACTTTTATGTGAAAGGGTAAGTCATGCTCCTTATTATGACATCCCAGCTGCTTAGTAATGGTCATTTGTTGCACAGATAGAAGCCCAAAACAAAATCACTAAAAATTCAAATTTTTGTGTAGGGTCATAAAAAATCAGAAACTTGCAACAAAATCGGAGCAGTCGGTATTGTAGGTTCTTTCACCAGCTCTTTCTAACAGTGCAAAGTTTGCTCCGATTGAGCGTCTATATGAAAAGTTAAAATTTCCGAGCAAGCAGTACAAAAAGGCGAATTTGATGTATTTTGGCATTTTTCAGGGAAATCATAACTTTTCATGGATACGCTCAATCGGCGCAAACTCTGCACTGTTAGAAAGAGTTGGTGAAAGAACCTACAGTACTGACTGCTCCGATTTTTGTTGCAAGTCTCCGATTTTTTATGACCCTACACAAAAATTAAAATTTTGAGTGATTTTGTTTTGAGCTTCTATCTGTGCAACAAATGACTATTACTAAGCAGCTGGGATGTCATTATAAAGAGCATGACTTACCCTTTCACATAAAAGTGAAAGCAGTCAAATCGGTTGAAAAAATCAGAAGTTATGAATTTTTGAAAATCGCGCGCAAAAACTTTCGGGACGACCTATACAATGTGTTGGCTTTTATTGGTCACCAAAGCAAATGATTTTTAGAGCCGGGAAGCAAAAAAGCCCTAACGTGCTGTATACCATTCGAAAGCTGAGATCATGGAGAATCGACGTAGACCGTCGACTTTTTTCTAGGTCTTCTGTGCCGCGAGATATGAGGGATTTTATGTGCTTCAAAAATTAACTGATTTTGTGTCCTCACTTTCTGCTCTCCAAATGAATGCTACGAGAAAGTCGACGGTCTACGTTTGTTAATGAAGACTTGCTCTTTAACACAGATAGATAATCAGCAGTGATTAGGTCTTCATTTGGCAGAAATCTGCTGTTGAAAATGACCATGTTTTCAGATAAAATGAGGTGTATCTCTCGGTAGAGGGGGGCTAGAAAGAAGTCGACGGTCTAGGTCGAATCCCCTTTTCCTGAGCTTTCGAATGGTATATAGGTTGCTGGGCGAAAAAACTAATCAGTTTTCAAAAATGGGGTGGAGATATTTACTATTAGCTTACTCCAACCCAGCTCCACCAATGTATTGGCTTTTATCGGTTACCGGAGCAAATGATTTTCAGAGCCGGGAAGCAAAGAAGCCCTAACATGCTGTACACCATTCGAAAGCTGAGATCATGGAGAATCGACGTAGACCGTCGACTTTTTTCTAGGTCTTCTGTGCCGCGAGATATGAGGGATTTTATGTGCTTCAAAAATTAACTGATTTTGTGTACTCACTTTCTGCTCTCCAAAATGCTACGAGGATAAATAAATAATATAAATAAAGATAAATACCGTTTCTTTAGTAAATTTATGAGCGTACTTGTTGTTTGAGGTACTTAGCCTGCTTTTCGTAACGATTTTTATCATATTCTCAGAGTACAATACCAATCTCAGCCCAGGTGAAGGGGGTCATCGGGAGTTTGGCCTCAAAGTGAAGTGGGTAAGATCCATCACTCCCCCTATCGCAACTATGATCTGCACTGGATTCAGTGATTGTCGGATATTCATGACTTTTATATGAGAAGTTTATGCTGGTACAAAATTTGTTTCTCAGAAAGGAGCGCTCTGCTGGAGCGGAGCGTGAGCGATTGGAGAAACTTTTTGAGAGGGCAGTTTTTGACGAAACAAATGAGAAGCAGATAAAAGTAATCAAGGATTTGTACAAGAGAGCTCTCCGTGTCCCAAATGTGGATCTAGCCGACACATAGAAAAGTCACTTGGAGTTTGCAGGCGAGTCAGTGACGTATGAGTGACGATGTGACGTAGTGTGAGAATGCACACATCGCCGCGGTGGTATGCCCCCTTATTCGAGCGATCAGCGATCCGTCGCGCGTTTTCGTCGCTAGTTTCCACCCAGTCGCGACGATCATCCATCGCGGCGATGGATCGCTGACCGGTATGACCGGCCCTTTAGTCGCCGCGCGATTTGGCACTGCAACGACGCTCCATAGCTGGTCGTAAACGCACTTTGCTTGGGCCAGACTTGCTGTGTTTGTTACAATTTACGGAATCTACGCATCCATGCATCTGAGAGCCTCGCATGCTTAATTTCTAGACATCTGGCAAATCGCAATGTCGCGAGGATGTGGCGATTTCGCGAAATCGCGAGAGGTATGCCTTAGGCCTAGGGCATAGTGTCCACGATAACGTCGCGCTGCGATTCCTGAATTACGACAACTGTTACGCACTCATTGCATGTCTGGGTGTCTGCTACGTTGCTTGTGATACTCGTCCAGCGCGACGGATCGCGGACCCTTTTTAGCTAAAGGGCCGGTCACACCGGTCAGCGATCCATCGCGTCGCTGACTTTCCCAAAGGACAAGTGTTACAAGGCCGGAGATA